TTCTGTTACAAAGCTGGATATTGTTCTGGCTGTGTTGCTAAGCAGGTGTGAGTGTTTTCTCTTGAGTCAGGTGAAGGCTTGTACAGTACTGAATTCCTGTAAATTTTGTATCCAGAAGTGGGGTAAAGAGGTGACTGTTTCTGGCAAAAATAATCTCAAAGGATGTGCAATAAAATAGCCTTATCTACATGGATCCCAAACTTGTAATCCTTGAAGTTTAAAAGGAAAAAAAAACCAACCCGGGGGCAATATTTACTGCTTTGATTTTATAACACTAATCAATTGTCCCTTTCTGGTTGTATCCATCTAGCAGTCTTTCCCTCTCTTATTATTGCTGTTGCTCTCAAGAACGCATTAAGCTCATAAGTAGTCCAGCCGTGATAGAGAAACAGCAAAAGGTGAAAAGCTAGAGAAGAACTGGAGAAACTTGTAATGTTAACCCAACATCACTGCCCAAGGGAGATAACGTTAATGGATAAACACCTAAAGTGCAATCTCGACTTGGTCTAAACCAGTGTATTTACATCCAGAATCCCTGAGATTGGAGTGTGCTTGTCTGAGGGCAGTTATGGGCGCATAAAGGCTAATGACATTGTCAGTGATAAACAGCAGTGGGTTTATGAAACAGGAGTACAGCAGACAATAACCTTTCTTGATACAATTAGATAATTAGTGGGAAGAAGGAATGCAATGAATAGACTGTCTCTGGACCATGCATAGGCTTTTGACACAAAGCTGTTCAAGATCTTATTAGGGAAATTAGACCAAATTGGTTTTGATACAAATCCTGTGAAATGAATCATGGATTAGCTGACAGAGTGTAAACAGAAGGGTTAGAGACATTCTTTATCCTTCTTCAAAGGTGGTGTCCAAAAGGGCAGTGTTTTGGTTTTAAATATTCATTAGTGACCCAGAGGAAAATATAAAAGGAATAGTTCTCAAATTTACAGTTGGCACAACTGAAAGAAATATGTAAAAAAAAAAAAAAAAAAAATCAGAGTAGAAAAAAGAAGTGCTAGGCTGAAAAAATGAGCATTATTGTGGCTTATTATAAGGCTTTGGTATAACAAGTGGCAATTAGTGTATGATTTAAAGATTATACTGGATCTACTTTGGAAGAAGGAGGATCTCCAAATTTCGTGTTGTGCAGAGCATGGTGGCAAAAGCAGCTTATGTTCGGAGAGGTTCCAGTGAGATAGTGGCTATCAAATGATGTGAGCTGATGTGCAACCTCATGTCTGGAAAAGCCACTGCTCAGTTGGTCCGTATGTCTGTCCAGCTGCTTTCTTTCTAGACTGACTCTCCCCCGTAGTGCTGTGGCATTGCACTGTGTGATTTGGGGCACCTTGCTGCAAAAGAGACCCAGGCGAGTTGGAACAAATCCAGAGAAGGGACACAAAGATGCTAAAGGGATTAGAGGGAATGACCTATGATGAGGAAAGGTGAAAAGAACGAAATGTTTAGAACCTCTAAGCCTGTTACATGGGCACAGAAATAGTAACGGAGTTTCCTGTGCCAGCACAGAGGAGAGTTGGATCAAGTCTCTCTCCTTTTACATTCCTATTAAGGTAACTAGAGCTGAGCAAAACGTCTGTTCATCACTTTGAACTCTTAGCAAAAAACATTTAGCTCTTCTTCTTGAAGTTCAAGATGTTGTATTTCATTGCCAGGGGACACTCCAAGTCTGTTTAGAAATCACTACGGGATCTCCATGAGACTTGCAGAAAGTCAGAGCTGGTGAGCCTTAACTCAGTGTGTGTGCTGCCCAACAACAACCAACTGTGCAAGTTGTTCCAGAGGCCAGAAAGGGAAAACTCAAGCTCTAGAATGGCTGGAGTCACCTTAGCTATGATCTTTGATCCATCCTACTGTTAAGGACTTTTGCCTCTAAAGCATGTGTCCACATCTAACCAGAACTCGCTATGTATTACTGTCTCCTGGAAGGGAACAGGAGCATCCTCAGCTGTAAGAATGTAGGGAGATTATTGCTATCTTTGATTCACCATCAGATAGTCACTGTTTGCCTGCCTTGGGGAGGAAGGCTCCTTAATTGAGGTTGTGAGTTGAGAAGTGACTTGGTCCTAGGAGACTGATCTCCCCCCTTTTTTTTTCTTTTCTTTTCTTTTTTTTTTTTCTTTTTGCAGTGTGGGAAAATACCTCAGTGGGTCTTCTATGAATTTTGGGCTTTTTAAGAGACAGAAGCTGGGTTCTGAACTCTGCTGACTGAATCTGACAGTACAGCTCACCTCCTTATCATGCCTTTTCATAGTGTTGTCTTCTGTCTGCCCTTAACATTACAACTCCAACTCCTTTTACTGTGGGGTTCCTCAGTGCAGCACAATGTTTTTATGGTGGTTTTGTCTTCCATTTTCTCAATAACGAGACCCTATTCTCATGTTATTGTGCCCATTGATCTTCAGGTTTTTACTACAAATGCAATTCTAGCGTAGGGAAGGGTTCCAGAATCTGGCCAGCACAGCAGCTTTCAGCTTTGTTGTGAGATGCTAAGATCTGGTCTCAGCTAGCAAAGCTTCATCTTCCTCATACAATCAGCTGGCATTATACCAGGACATCTGCAATCTGTCTAGGTGCCTTGTGGGATTAAAGATGAATGCACCTGCAGCAATTATTTCTGTAACTGCTCCACGGCCTCTTGTCCAGGGTGACTCTCTGGGCAAAGCATGGGCATTCATCAACTCATCATGCTGTCTCTGAGAGGGACCAAACTCTGGATTCCTCTCAAGTAACACCAAGCAAAGCAGCCGAGGAATGTGAGATGCCTTCCCATACTCTCAAGGTCAACAGTCTTGCCAAATAACAGACTTGGCTGATCAATCTCAGAGATAGGAGATGAGGTCAAACATCAAGAATGAAACAGAGAAGGGAAAATTAGGAGATACTTGGGTCAAGTGAGCTCATAAGGATGCAGGACTGTGAAGTTGCTGCATATCAAACATGTACCTTCATATCAACAAACACAGGTGTGATACATATACATGTGCACTCCAGCCTTGCTATATCACAGAAATTTTTGTCCTGTCCCCTGACAGGTTTGAGTTTTTGGCAGAAGGAGTTGCCACAAATACCAGGTAAATAGGCTGAAACTGAAATAGAAATTACCCACATGACCATGGTATGGTAACGTTAAACCAGCTTCCAGCAGAAGAAAAGTCAAGCATCCCCAGTCAGTCAGAATTCTTTGAACATATCATCAGGAAAATGCATGTATTTAGGTTTTCTTAAAAGCCTTTGACAAATTATCTTGCTGAAGGGAAAATTTAACCTCTCAGGTTAATACTATTATCAATTAAAAAGTGTCTGAGACAGGAAAAAAAAGGGTAGACATACCCTACTCAGAAAGAAAGATAAGTCAATTTTCAGCACGATAAAGGTTAACATGAATCACCCACAAAGACCAGTGTTGTGGTGTTTGATCCATGTGTTAATGATCTGGGAAGTGGGTGAATGAGACTCTGCAGATGACATCAAATTATCAAGGAAGACTGAAGAACTCCAGAGGATCCTAATAAAGCTGGGTGCATGGATGGCACAGTGGTAGATGAAATATACTGTTGACTATTGCAAAACATTGCACACCAGAAGGCATTAATTTGATCTTTTAATACATCTTAATGGATTCTAAATTAACTGTAGCAACTCAGGAAAAGATCTGAGGATTGCAGTAAGTAACTTGCTGATATTCTCTGTTGAAGAAATGGTAACAATTTAGATTTTAATTTAAAGAGAAAAAAAGCAAACAATGTAAGGAGTTATATAATAGATAGGCTGAAAATAACATTGAAAATATGGTAACGTCAGTAGGTAATTGATGGTGTGCCTTTGTCTTGACTACTGTCCAGACCTTCAGCTGGAGAAGTGATGGAGCAGTGCCAGTTTCATGATGCTGAGGAGCTGGCTCATTGAACTCAGTTCTGGACAGAACAGAAATAGCCAGACTAGAGGAAGTTCAGAGATGCATGATGAAGCAGATAAGAGCTCTGCAAAAACTTCTGTGTGAAGAACAATTATATAGATAATGAAGAGCTGAATGAGGAGAACGTGGCAAAAGTACACTTCCTGAGAAGGAGAGTCAGGAGTTGCTCAGGGAGCCTGGAAGGCTGCACATACAGTATGGGGAAATAAAAGTGTGATTTTTTTTGTTTGTTCATACACCGCAGAAGTAATCCCTGGATATAATAAGATATAATAGAAATTAGCAGTGTTCTGAAAACAGACTGAACATTTACATAAGGAGTAAGACTTTCTGTGACTACAATAAATAAGAACTTGCAAATTTGGTAAAGATGCAGTTCTTTCCATACGCTTAATAGCATAACCCTCTCTCTAAGTGGGAACTTGAGAAAAGTGTCTCCATGTAAAAACTTTATACTAGAAAATAGAGGAAAGATTAAGATTTAAGATTAAACTGGATGAAACTTTTGATCAAATGATTTTCCTTCAGTTTCTAAGCTCCCCTTTTAGTGATGTTAGTGAAGCAAGGGGGAAGGAATCCAACATGAAAATTAATCAGAGACTTATGTATTACAAATTAAAATCCAATATGAGCAGGTTCTTCCCGCAGGGTCTGCTAGTGAACCTTTTGCTTAGAGCCAGGGCAGTGGATCCTGAACTAACCAAACATCTTTTTCACCTGGCCTGCCATAGACAGGCTTATTCCCTTCTGCTGTCCCCAGAGTAGATTATGCCTCATCAGCACTGATGCCCCTTCGCAGCACTGCAGCCTGTGAACAACCTGAAATTGTGATCTGCACAAATAGCCTTGACTTTATTCTAGTGTGAGTTTGTGACAAGTAGGCAGGCTGTTCTTAGTGAGTTGTACTGATATTCCTGAAGGAGAAGTACTTGGGTGGGTGTTGAACTGCCTGAGCCAATTGTAGTTGGGCTGAGGTGGGAAAAGGAGGGCTCTCTTTTGACCAACATGGAGCTAGGTTTGGCCAGGAGGCCGCTGAGTGCCTTTGCTCTCTCCCTGCAGGCTGCTCGGCAGAATGGCCACAGAGGAGCGGCACCTCTCCTCCAGCTGTGGGTCCTTCATCAAGACTGAGCCCTCCAGCCCATCTTCTGGCATCGACGCCATCAGCCACCACAGCCCGAGCGGTTCCTCCGATGCTAGCGGTGGCTACGGCATCGCCATGGGTGGCCACCCCAATGGCCTAGACTCACCACCCATGTTCAATGGCACAGGGATTGGTGGTGGGTCCTGCCGTAAGCGTTACGACGACTGTGCCAGCGCCATCATGGAGGACTCGCCCACCAAGTGCGAGTACATGCTCAATGCAATCCCCAAGCGGCTGTGCCTGGTGTGCGGGGACATTGCTTCTGGGTACCACTACGGCGTGGCTTCCTGTGAGGCATGCAAAGCCTTCTTCAAGAGGACTATTCAAGGTATGGTGGGAAGGGAGGGAAACTAAGACATTCTCTCCATAGTAAAAAAAGGGAGGAGGCTCTAGATATTCTGAGACTGCAGTGTATCCATGTCATATAAAAGAGGGCAAAGGAGGGGTGAATGTAATTCACCTAACCTTCCATCCTGCTCAGCTCTGGTCCTTCCAAATCAACCTGGACATGAAGTTAGGCTTTATGGTGGCAGGAACCTTTGCCAAGTTCCTAGCCTGGCTGGCTACCATCTGGCCTAGTGGATCTTCTTGCCTCTGCTAGTGGCACTGATACCCTGATAACATGGTTGGTGGTGGAGTACAGCCTGGAAAGGAAGTGCTTTGCATTCTAAACGTGGTTTTAAGGCCCATTTGGAAAGTGGATACCCCTGCCCAGAGATGGCATCTCTTTAGAGAAGTCTGTACCTTGAGGTGAAATCTCCAGCATTACAGGAGTAGGGAGGTTCTCACTCTGTTTTGCCAGTCTTAATCTGTGGCCGTGGACTCCATACAGACCTCACCACAAGGCTGGACAGGGCACTTGGATGAGAATCAATCCTGTGTTCCTCCTTTTCCAGCTCCACCAGCCTTTTCCATTAAGATGTAACTTCTTTGGAGATAAAAAATTTATGCACTAAAGGAGATAGAGATACCCATTTTTTGTCAGTCTTACTAAGGATGAGAAACTCCTCAGGTGATTTTGAAAACCTCAGCACATGTATATTTAGATGAATTGCAGTGCATTGCTCCTGCATGTACAATTCACATATGAGGTGTATGGCTGTGTCCTGACTGCCAAAAGGGTATGCTGCAGATGTGCACACACATGGGTACAAGAATATGGCCAAAAGCAGGAGTGCATCCAGGCAGCCTCTGATATCCACAGATGCTTGGGTGTACTTACACAAGCAGGCCTCATGTGAGCAAACATGCCTGGACATACACTTACTCCCTTTATTTCCTACACTCTCTAACTGGAAAAAGGACAGGACTGTTCACGTTCCAGTGGAAAGTGTATTGAGTTTACCCAACCATGGTGAGGACAGATGTCCAGTGAGCAAGCAGCTGAGTGTGTACTTGGCTGTTGGCTGGGGTCAGTCCGCCACACCAATGCTTCCTCGTCTCCTGTGAAATGGAAGAAATGCATATGTGGGAAGAGCACTCATTTTAGTTCATTGAATGGGCCTGATTACACTCTGTCACTGAGGATGTTCAACTCTGGAGTGAGCAGAGAAATACAGGGTGAAGTTCAGCCCAGGTCTCCACAGAATCCACTATTTCTAGCTTAATTTCTTAGATTCTAGATGTCTCTCCTTACTATTATCCAACTGTGGAAATAATGACTCTGTATTGCCCCACTGACTCTTCCTGTTTTATTATGCTGTGTGGAAAGCACGGCCATCTCTGGAGCATTGGCTTGTTTCCTGTTTTCTGGCAGCATTTCTGTGATTTGTCATTGCTGAATCTCCTGTGATTGAATGTGAACTTTTACTTGGACTTCTGACTGTCAGCACTGACTCTGTCCCTCCTCCAGCACTTGGACTCACTCCCAGTGTTTCTTTTTGGCACATTCAGGTGCTAAAGGAGGGATAGGGTGGTACTCTGAAGTACAGCCCTAGGGACTCCTTATAGAGGAAGAGACTGAAAAACTGTCCCCTCATGGGAGCAGTACTGGAGCATCTCTGCAGCAGAGCAGAAGAGAGGCCTAACCTGGGGAGAGAGAAAAAGACCTAGCAACTTTTGAAGAGTTTTCAGAGAAAATAAAAAGAAAATGATGTAGGGTGGCAGTAACTAGAGCCTGTATCAGCCTGGGTGATATGTCAGCTGACTTAATCCTAAGAAGGGAGAATGCTTCCTTCCGACCCCCTCTCCCCAGCACAGCCATATTCTCCCTGTGGTTCCCTAATTGATTGCCTGTTAACGTGTAACAGATGGGGGAAAGGAAGAGGTGCAAATTTCTCTCACTCTGTCATCAGCTTGGGCTGGCAACTGAGGTACCAAAATGCTTTTATTCCTGAGAGTGGGAGAGTTGAGTGTTCTGTGCCCAAAGGTGAGCAATTTCAGCAGTGGAGCTGAAGGCTGAGCCCAGGGGAGTGGACAGCAAATAGAGCTGCAGAGTTTGGCTGAGTCAAGAAAATGCATCCCCAGGGTTCTGCTGCAGTGCATGTGATACCCCAGCACAGCCCTGGTATGCAGGGGAAAGGTTTAAAAATCACATAAAAGAGATGGCAAGTGGCAAAAACATTTCCAAAAGGTGTTCATCCTGCAACTCTATTTGATTCTGTAGATGTGTTAAGCATCTAACTGAAGAAGTGGGAAAATATCCATCCAGGCTGCCTAACTTCGATATAGGGTGTGCTGAAAGCATGCAGATGTGTATATTATACAATTGCATTCCCTGCTAGTATCAAAAGACTTGCCATGATCCTGGTATCTCGGAATGGCATTGACTCAATGGTTTGATCACAGAAGTGGAGCTATGACCCCAGGATTTCACAGGTGCTCAGGAGTTGCAGTATGTAGATTCATACTCGAGCTTTTGTGGTCTTGGACCAACCACTTCACCTCTCTCACTTCTCGTCTATTGCAAGATGAAAAACTAATGACTATGATGAAAGTACTTAATCTGGTGGCCCTATGTTTGGTAACTTTGTTAAGTAATAGGTGTGCATGCTGCTATAAAATGGTTCTAAATCTGTCCTGGGTGATTAGACTCCTGCAGCTCTATCTAGATATCTCTGATTATGAAACAGAGCTTCATGCTAAGTGTGCCCTCCAACTACCCACCTCCCCTGTTACAAGTGACCCCAGTCTGCCTATTGCTTTTTTAAGATGCAGTAACTCATGTAAAACCTGCATGTCTTGAGACAGGAGGATCTTGCAATAGCCACTCTGCTCTCCCTGCTGCTGCCACAGCAGTGGGAAGAATGGACATCCAAGCTGCAGACCTGCTTTGAGCCTGACAGCTCTGCAACTCACTTTCCCCCTTAGCCAGGTGAGGCCAGGCTGTCCTGGACCGCATGAGGGATGTTGCTTTTCAAGTGATGGGGAGAAGATAGGCTGAAGGCCAGCATGGACATGGCTGGTTATTTCTGAGTGACCTCTGAGTATTGAGGTCACTACCATTGCTATGTGGGAGATTTCCATCAGTAGGATTTTTCCAAAGAAAAGTGGAATTTTTACCAAGTCAGATTCCCAGATTTTCCAAGGAGAATTTTGATGACAGGAAAGAAAAAGAAGTCAGGAAAATCCAAACCATTGGTTCACTTCAAGCTGAACTGAGTGGCTGGTTTTGCTGAACTAAGACAGGATCATACAACACATCCTAACCTGTCCCATAGGTTATGGTGGGGTCACACGTGTGACCTCTCTCATGTTGTGTTACACGGCCCAAGAGAAGGATCAAGGCCTGGAAACCTGTGTATCATTTCCACTTTGCAGCACTGGCAATAGCTGAGATGGAAAGGCAAAAACCTTAGACAGGATGACAGCACACGCTACTGGACTACAGGCCTTTCTCTCTGAATTTTATTGTTATTTTGAACCCCAGGGCTGAAGTTCCCATGGTTTGAGGCAGAGTCAGAAACTCTGAACTGACTTGAAGCATTTTTGGTCAGCTACGCTGTCTGACAAAATTTTAATCCTGTTTCTTTATCATTGTATTGCATTGTGGGAACTGTGCTTTGGGTCCCCATTGTAGTCTAACAGCAGTCTGCATTTACCTCCAAAATGCAAATGTCCTCCATAAAAACAGGTGCCATGGGTGTCACTTTGTGAATATTGTGGAAAGCGCAATCTAGCGAAGACAGAAGAGAATCTGAATTTTGGGGATGTTGAAGTGAGCTACTATTGATGCTTAAAAGAGACCTGATTTGAAACCAAGAATTTCATATTAGTTGAATGTAATGGAATGGGTCTGTTACATGAAAGATAATGTGTTTCAGATGTTTCTGAATTAAAACTTGGAATTTCTATTCCATGGAAATCCTAGCTAATCCTTTCATCCAAATTTAGGACAAAGGCAAATGCTGAATTTCTTATGGAATACAAATTCTTAATCTAACTCAACTCTATTCCTTCTTTTAATAGTTTGCTCAGTAGACAGAGCATTATATATCAATCAAATATATTGTCATTATCTTTTGTTCATCAGTCATTAAAACTGGTAGGTAGTTTTGCCTATTCTGAATATTAACTAATAACAGTGCTATGTAACCATATAAGTCCTTTATTATTCAACATATTCATGACTATAACTACCCTTCATCTATTTTTCATCTTCAAATAGTGAAAACTAAGGCTATTTCTAAAATGACCCATTAATATAAAATAAAAGCTTAAAGCTCAGCAAAATAAGTCTGAATTAACATTTCCCTCTCTGATCTTTGTGAATCATCTTATTGTGTGCTTGGAACTCATACCCATAAGGTGATAGAACAGGACTTGCAAGGAGTGATACTGGGGAGAACTGGTTGTTGGAGAGTCAGAGAGAAGAGACGTATTTACCATTGCCTTCTGAACAGGCAGGTTATGTATCAGGCATCTGTGGATTCCCTGCTTGAGTCTTGCCAGCTTCAAACTCAATGAGTATACCAATACAACTGCTGTACTGGGATGCCATTACACCAATAAGGGGCTTAAAACGTGGATAATGCAGCTCAGAAGACTTGTAGGGATTTATAACAGGCTTTTAACAAAATCTGTAGTCTTCTAGGGCTTCCTGGTTGTCATTACAGTGGTTAGAGTGGCTCCTGGTAAGGGAAGAGCAGTTAAGAGAGTTTGCTCATTTTCCTGAGCAGAACAGCATTACCATCCACAAGATCAAAAAAGAGCCTGTGAGATGCAAAAAGGAGGTTTTGTATCCCTACAGTAGCAGCCACAGCAGCCAGGCACTGTCCTGTCCTCCTGTCCTTCTCAGAAACATGGCTGCTACTTCTCATGTGGGAGTTCACAGCCAAAAACCAGATGTCCTGAGCTTTCCAAAAACTTTTGAAGCATAATGAGGGAAAG